GAAGGAAGGACAAAGCAAAAGAAGGAAGAAGGAAGAGAGAAAAAGAACCAAATGAAAGAGGGAAGGAACCAACAGCCGCTAAGAAAAGGAAGCACCGGAAGGAGTAATGGTGATGATACTGGGGGGGGTCCAAACCCTGAAGAACCACAAAGACCAGGATGGCTTTATTGCAAGCATATTTATTACAAAAACAGAACAAGAAATTTGTTTATAATTTTAGTTTCTGAACTTTACACGAGTGACTTCTGGAGACGCTCCTCATCATCAAAAAGTGCCCCCCCCCCCCCCCCCCCCAGGGCGACAATAAATAAATAAAAAACACCTTAAGATGTCCCCTTTCTTCTTGTAATTTCATAAACTTCATCTGGGAGGCCCCCCGACCCACCAAAGGCGGGACATTTGAAAAAAGCCTAGAAGAAGGGGGGGGGGGGGGGGGGGGGTACCCCGACCTCCACACCTGTAGTTCTCCTCCCCTTTGGTCAGGAACCTGTAGTCATTAGCAGAAAGAAGGCCAAACCAACATGGCCGCCCCCGTGGCGGGGGGGGCGGCGAGGACATCGTCTGGGTCAGAATCCCGACTTCTGCCGGCGTGACGCCACATCGCTATGACGACGTCACGCAGACAAATAAATACATCTGTCTTTCAAGCTAAAGAACAAAAAAAAAAACTGGATTATAAATTAACCAGAAAACGAAAAAGAAACACAAAGACATTCGCAATTCTTTTGCATACAGTGACCTCTGGTTTCCTGTAACAGACGCGCGCGCACACGCACGCACGTGCACACCGCCGTGCGTGTGCGCGCGCAGAGGGGGAGACGATTAGTGCATGCTGGCTGTCGGGCGCCCGGCCGTTACCATGGCGGAAGGTTACACGTGTCAGTAATGTGCGGTTAGTCGCGGTAAAAATAGTCCCCTCTGGAGCCGCTCTGCGTCCTGAGCCTCCTCTGAGGCCAAATCGTTTTGTTCCGGTTTGGGACACGCCCCCTTTTGGGGACACGCCCCCCGACAGGGACACGCCCCCGGCTGACATGTGTGCGGTTTTCTGTGGGTGTGAACGTCCGGTAAGGCAGCATCACATGGGTCGGTGGGCGGGGCTCTGGAGGAGAAGGCAAACAGGGGTCTTAAAGGGGAAAAGTTGGCTCTGACCCGGCGGAACCGGACCAGAACTCCTCTCCTGTTGTGCATGTTGGCGGCCGGTCGTAGAGGGAAGAGGGAGACGCGCCCGGACTGTCAGTCAGAGGACATCTTTAGGCGTCCGCTCCAGTCCAAACTGGGCCAAAGGACGCCGCTCCGGTCCAAATGGCGTCCGTTCTGGTCCAAAGGACGCCACTCTGGCCGCTCACTTCTTGCCGGACGTGGGTGTTTTGGGGCTGGACGCCTTCTTGGAGATGGTGGGGATCTTGGAGGGCTTGGCTCCGCCCCCGGGCCTCCTGGGGGTGTCAGAGGTGTCCGAGCAGACGGAGCGAGCGTCCTGCAGCTCTGAGGCGTCCGAGGCGTCGCTGCCGCGGCGGCTGCTGGCACGACTCCCCGCCCGGCTCCCCGCCCGGCTGCCCGCGCGGCTGGTCGGGCCGCTGGCGCTGGACGCGCCGCGTTTAGGGTCTGACGGCAAAACAAAGAGGAAGAGAACAGTCAGACGCTTCAAACTGCTGATGAGAAGCAACCAGACCTAAAAAGGAGGTGGTTCAACTTCGCCTTTCTCATAAATAAAAGAACCAAGACACATGAAAAGCAGAATTTAAGATGTAAAAATGTTATCAGACACATTTTAGACACACAAACAAGAGAAGCTTACATAAAATGCCGTTTACAGCATCAATAAAGACCATTCTTTTTGGTAAAAAAGGACCCAAAAAGGTCTTAAAAAAATGCAGCTATTCTATTAGTTCTCATCTTCAGTTAATAACAGAATCAGTAATAGCACATCAATAATCTCTGGATTAGTGGATGCTGTAAACAGCTGCTGAACATCTGTAATTTGGCAGTGTTTCAGGCAGAAAACCACAGGACAGTTCACAGTTTAAAAACTCTCCAGTAACTAATAATCAGCCCTTTTCCTTCTTTAAATGCTCTCTTATCGTAAATCCATCACATTTAAACATGTTTACAGCCAGCAGCCAAACACAGAAGCAACATTTTTATTGTTTATTCCAGGAAATGGCAAACTAACTGAGCCGTAAAAGAAGAAAACACGGCTTTTACTGATGGGCTGTGAAGGAAACCCAGTCCTCCCACACTGGGTTTGGCCCAGTGCTGGTTCTGGGGCGGTTTGGGTCTAAACTGGTTCT